CATCTTGAATTCCCTTCGAGCAGTAATATAATATTATATTCTAAGGTATAGAACAACAAGCAAACTTAAGTAAAAAAGAATTTTTAGAATCTTATAAAACATGATTTAATAGCAGTGCGGGTCGGTGCGGTTTGGAAGAAAAATAGAAACCGGCGGATTGATAAAAGTGTCACTAGAATTTGTCATTTTTCTTACAAAAAATCGACGATTCGATTGGCAAATAATAACGAATTTGCCTTAGCAGTGTGATTCGGTGCGATTTTGACGATTTTGATGATTTTGACGGTATCATGGACACCCCTAGTCAAGTTCCCAAATTTTTTTCTCATTTTTTTCACTAAAAGACAAAAGTTTTGCAAAACCAAAAAAAACACATCCAAACAAAATATCACATCCAACCCCATAATCATTTCACTTTTTCTCTCACAAACATCACATCCAACCACATAAAAACCCAACTATCTTCCCAAACACCAAAAATTTTTTATCTCATAAAAACCTACATCTACTAAAATCTACATAAAAACTCACTTCCCAAACACCATCTATAACTCTTACCTAAAAATATGGTTTGACTTTATTCGAAATTAGGCCATAATATATTATTTTAAAAGTCTCGACCATTTTAGATATATAATTTTAATAATATAAAAGCAAAGCGTGTAAAATTAGCATGCAGTTAAAGTTATAAAAATTAAGGTCAAGTTTAGCATAATTTAAATAATACAAAAAATTAAAAAGTCACTATCTTATTTAAGTTATATCATCTTATTTAAATTATATCACCTCTCTAATACATCACATCAAACCCAATCCATATAAGCTAATAAGTCAAAAAGTACACTTTTTTAGAACATCCCAAACCAATCCTAAATATAAATTTGTATTTTTCTTAGAATTTGATTGTTCGATTTTTTTGAAATTTTTACAGATATACTCTATATTTTATGAACTATAATATATAAAAAATTTAGGACGATCAAAGATGATTAAAAATATTAACTTTTATGTACAAATTATATCTATACATATATTCATGCACAAATAACATCAAAAACCTAACATATAATTTTGAGTACCAGTAGTAGAAATAAAGAATACACAGAAAGTAAATGGATTTGGCTATATCTTTTACGCTCAAACCGAATCCATGAATCATGTGGGTGAATCACATGTTTCTATTGATATCTTTGAATGATTCCCAACAGTATGTTTCTATGGAGAGAAAAGAATAGAGAGTCTAGGAGAGAGAGAAAGATATTGATAGCCCATACAGTTAAATTCTTATTCACTCAAATATAATACGTATATTATATAAGGAAATTATAACTACTCGTAACTCTATGTCAAGAGATGAGATAGTGGGTTAATCACATTTACCTCCAAAATGAGTTTATGGGTTCTAAACCTAACCTAATTTTTATTTTTATTTTTATTTTTATTTTTATTTTATGCATTTATTTCTAAAAAATAAATGGTCTATTTTTAAAAATATTTATTTTTTTTAAGAAAAATATGATAAAATGAAAACGTGGATCTAATTTTTTTTATAAATAATATATATAATTTTATAAAATAAACAATTTCAATCATTAAAACCGTAGGAAGCTTTCCCAGTTGAAAAATATAGAAAATTTTATAGAAATAGAATGAAGAATGACTTGGTCTGGGTCTCCGCTTGTGTAATTGTCGACCAAAATAGACTCCACTCCAGCAAAGCAAAAAAAGAGAAAAGAGAAGCCAAAGTAGTAGTACTTGTAATACGGTAAAGACAAAACAGTAGTAGTTGTAGTATGTTGGGTGTTTTGAGAAAATGATTGAAAGTTAATTTTTTAATTTTTTTTTTTTTGGAAAAAAAATGTAGGTTAAAAATTAACAAGTTCCCAAAATATGGATTCGGGAACATGTTTTTTTAATAATTTTTTAATTTTTTAGTTAAAATATGATGTAAAAAAATTAGTATGTTTAGAATAATTTTTTAAATTTTTATAAAAAGATGTGCAAAAAAAAAAATTTAAAATTTTTTAATATAAATTGTTAACTTTTACCTTTTTTTAATAATTTTTTAACTTTTTAACTTAAAAAAAATCAATTTTCCAACGAGACCTAAGTTCGTAACTTTTTACCTCATTTTCTCTGCAAAAGATTCTTCATCGTTTCACCACTACTAGTATATCATTTGCTTCCACATTCACAACAAAAGATATACATATAACCACTACAAATATAGATACGTATACCCAAAATTACACAACACTAGTCAATTTTAAAAAATACCCATATTTGTTGGTGGTGAGGTAATAATAATGGAGGTGTGTGGTCATGCCCAACAATCCCAACTTTGCAGAGGCCTTGGTGGTGGAGGTGGGTTAGTGTTGGAGGAGAAGAAGAAAGGAGGAGGAAGAGAGAGTTTTGTGGCTCTGTATTTTCTGCTCTTCTTCACTACCTCTTCTATGCTTTCTTCTCTTTCTTCTTTGCTGTTGGTATGTAACCCCCGAATTGGGATCCTCCCCTTCATTTCGGTCCTTCATTCCCTCCTTGCAAGGCTTTCGGGCCCACTTTGAGGCCCAATTTTAATAATCCGAACCGTTCATATTTTTAAATTTGTTCAGTATATCATACCTGTAAAAAATCAAGTTGATCGAATATCATAAAGCATATGTTCGGAAAACTGTTTATTAAAAAATAGTTTGTAGTCCCAATTTTTTGAACGCATACTTTCTGATATCCAATCAACTTGATTTTTTACAGGTATAATATACTGAATAAATCTAAAAATATGAACGGTTCGGATTATCAAAACTGGGCCTCAAAGTGGACCCGAAGGCCCCTGCAAGGAGGGAATGAAGGAGGGGCTCAAGGAGGGGATCTGGACCCTGTAACCCCCCCCTTCTTCCCTCTCTCTCTCTTCAGAATATGAATTGCCATGACCTCTCTCTCTCTCACACACACAGGACTTATGAGAATATAAAATGGAACATATAAATCCCAAACTCCCTTACAAATCTACTTGGGATAGACTAATAAATTTGTCCATAAAATTTTAAAGATTTGATTAAGCTTGACACTTTCATATTTTTATTAAAATCTCATAGTATTTATGTTCTCTTTTAATTATAATAGTTAACTTTTTAAATTTTAAATTTTAAATTAAGTTGTCTAAAGTCTCAATAAAATCAAAATGGCATAATATACATAATTTCTAAAGTATGTATTTTTTGTTACATTTGGTCTCCAAAATATACATTTTGTTTTATTTTGATTCTTAAAGCAGGCGCTTTATTACATTCTGACCCTTAATCTTTTAATTTTGCTTGGTTTCTATTTTTTAAAAACAGTTTTCAGAAAATTCTACACTCTTATTTTCTGTATTTTTTTGTTTTTACTGAATTTTTTTAATATTTTATGCAAATTTTTTACTTTTTAGACAACCTAACATAAATACACCTAAAAAGTAAAAAAATTGTAAAAAAAAATCTTTTAAAAATTCACTAAATACCAAAAAATACAAAAAAAATACAAGAATTTAGTACATTTTTTGTATTTTTATGTATTTCTTAATTTTTTAAAACATTTTTCACAATTTTTTTACCTTTTAGACATATCTAAGTAAGGTGCATCTAAAAAAGTAAAAAAAATGTTTAAAATTTAAAAAATATTCACTAAAAACAAAAAAACATGAAAATCAAAAAACTCAATTTTCAAAAAACTTAATTTACAAAATTCAAACCAAACACAGTGATTAGTTTTTTTTTCCCTTACATAGTTCCAAAAAATACATTTCTTCCCGTTATTAATATTGAATTGTATTAACACGAGCTAAACTATAACAATCACATCGGCTAGAGATAAAAGTGAAAAAATTAAAAGTTAAGAATTAGAGTATAATAGAAAGCATATTTTTAAAACTATTACGCTGTATTTGATTGAGAGATTTGAGAAGGAATTTGAAAAAGAAAAGAAAAAAGTATGTGAAATGTGAATATAATATACCTACATTTCACATAATTTCGCACACCTATTTCGTTTTCCTTTCTAAATTCCTTCTCAAATCTCTCAACCAAACACAATATTAGTGCAATTTATCTTAATTAATTATTACATGTCTTGGCCATCATCCTTATTTGTTAAACTAAATGCCACGAGGGTCCTAATGTAATCACACAGACCTTCCTATGTATATTGTTTCTAATCAACAAAAAAGCTTTATTAACGAAAACATGCAAAGTATAAAATAATACATCAATAAAGAGAAGAGTGCAAAAGTATCAAAGTGAACCATCAAGATCCCAATTAAGTTGGCACCTAGATGAATACCAAATCATCTACTAGCATATGCTCAAAGCTCCATGCTGGTGAGAAACCAACATACATAGCCAAACAAAGCAGAAAACAAGAAATAAAAAACTGGTACCAACTTAGTCAATGACAAAACAGCCAGCATCAAGAACTAACAAGCAAAAACACCCAGCAAGCAACATCTAATCACCATCACAACAGTAGCACTAGCAGTAAATACCAACAGTAAACATCAGCAGTACCAGCGGTACACCAAGATTAACATCAGCAGCAACAGTACCAGCAGTACACCAGCAAAACAACAACAACAAGTTTGACATCAGTAACAGAATAGCAGCACCATCAGGATGAACATCAGCTAAACATCAACAATAAACAGCAGCACCAACACCAGAAATAAACAGCAAAATCAGCTTCGTATTTGCATGTTGATATACACAATGTCGCTCATGCAGTTATTTTAAAAACACAACTTCAATTCGATATCAAATGTCATAAAAAAAACGTAACTAAAAACCCTTTTCAACACCCATTAATTTTAAAAGAGATAATGAAACTTAGTTCGACAGTATACATGACATCTTGAGACTTCATTAACAGTAATGGGTTTGCATTCATAAATTTTCTCTTGATGATAATGATCATATATATATATATATATATAATTGTGTTTGTTTGTAGTTGAGACGACGATAGGAGCAATGACAGGGGCAGTTTTGGGGATGAAAAGTAAGAGGAAGATTGGATTAGTACATGGGGCTGCTGTTGGAGCATTCACTGGAGCTTCTTTTTCCCTTCACGCCGTTAGTGCTGCGTTTTCTCTCTGGATTTCATTTCATGACAATGAACCTCCCTCTTTCCGTCTCTTCGTGAGTCCCTCTTCATCTTTCTCATTTTAGAATCCGCTTTAATGACAGTTTCGTGCATTTATTTATTTATTTTTAATCTTTTTTTTTTTATCAATCAAAAGAGAACCGCTATTGATAAAACATTCAATACAAAGTAAATAAGCATTACATCAATAAAGGGAGAGAAAGATGGTGCAAATATCATCATAGTTTTCATTCCCATTATCAACTAGGTTGACACCAAAAAGTAAACACAATCATCTGACAACACCACCCTAAGGCTGGTGAGAAACCAACCAAAAAGAAAACAAGGAACCAGCAACAACCGTAGCAGTCCACCCACATTATTTATTTATTTTTAATCTATAATTTGTAATTTGTGTACAATTAGTTCTTGGCCCCACGTAGTAACCTTGGTTAAAATAATAGGTGGACTTATTTAACGTCTTATAAATAAAGGATTTTGTTCGTCTGCTTGTAACAATACCGGACTTGTACAGGCATCATCCATACATATAGAGAGAGAGAAGGAGAAAGAGATTTGATACTCAAATTTATGAATGAACTTCCAATTCATGTTTACACTTGAGTTTTATTATTGGGATCTTGAATTTAATTGTGAATGTGAATATCAAGAAAAAAATGCAAGAAATTCATGATATATATATTTTTTAATTCATAACAAAGATAGTTTATATTATAATTTACATATAGTTTGAACTCAAATTTATGGATGGATTTTTGATTCATGTTTACACATTAATGTGATATAGATTGAGGTTATCACAAGCCTTCTCAAACCAACACTAGTGTACCTGGGAGAAGAGTTTGGTCCAGGCATGCATGGCCCAGTAAGGAATCAGGTAAAGCTTTATTTATTCTAAAATCACTATCACATAGCTTTTGAAAAGTCGTGAAAAGTCATGAAAAGTAAGATAGGCAAGGTTTAGTAGAACTTATTTCTAACTTATTTTAATTTTTAACTTAATTTAAGTTATTTTGATATGTTTAGTTTAGTTTAACAATACAGCTTATAGCTTTTTGTAAGTCAAAAATCAACTTATTCTTTGAGTGGGGGAGAAAAAGCTTCATTTATAAGTAAAAAATAAGCTTATGTTCACACTTAGGCCTTGTTTGGGAACATGCTAATTTAGTAACTTTTTGACTATTTGGCTAAAAAGGTAGGTAAAAAAGACTTGTATGTTTGGGAAGATTTTTTGGCTAATTACGAAAAGATGTGCAAAAAGTAGAGAGAAAAGAGAATCTTTGACTTTTTTGTATGAGTTGTTGGTTTTTTGGCTAATTGGCTAAAAAAGTAAGTCCCCAAACGGAGCCTTATAAGTTATAAACTATAATCACTTTCCCGCAGCTCTACCAAACGGGGCCATAGACATATCCATTTTGGGAAGATGGTTAAAAAGTTAAAAGATGGCTTTTAATCATCTTTTTAAAACACTTTCCAAAATATCACTGAGTTGTTTTGGGAAGTAAGTTAAAAATTAATTTTTTTAATTTTTTAAAATATGTTTTTAAAAAATATGTAAAAAAATAGAGAGATAATGTGACTCAAAATAGATTAAAAGTCAAAAAATGACTTTTATCATTTTACCAAAAGAGGCCATATACTCGAGTCCCGAATCGATTTTGATCCTTTCCATTCTAAATATGTAGTGGAGGATTTTTATTGCATATCTAATGATTATGAAATAGGGATGCAAATTTATTATTATTTTAAATTAACCATGCTTGAAATTTATTGGGCAAATTATATTAGTAGTCCCTATATTTTAGTTTTTGTATTGTTTTGATTTCTAATTTTCAATTATCTCGATTTCAGTTTTGAATTTATGATTTTATCTTAATTTAATTGAATTAATTACAATTTTTTTTTTTAATATAGAAAATTTGCACATAAGCATTATGTGTCATGTTTTTATAAGTAAATTGGTAAACTATTTTAATTTTGTGAGTTCACTCGGTCATAATTTTTCTCATAAAACCTTAATCATTGTTATCAATTGGACCAAATTGATACATATTTAAAATTAATAATTAAAATTGAGCTAATTAAAATAATAGTGACAAAAATGACACATTGAGTAAAATGTAGAGACTGCTGATATAATTTACTTAATTTATAAATAATTAGGATGTGAATGCTGATGATGATGATCAGGTGGCCACTGTTGAAACAAACAAACAAATCCCAAGATTTATAGACAGAAAGGGAGGCAATGGTTTACATACAGGTTCTATACTTGATAAGCTCCCAAAGACTAGAATCACAGATAAGAATATCTATGACTCTTCAGGAAATAGAATCTCCTGCTCGGTTTGCCTTGAGGTATATATCTCACCTTCAATTTGATACTTTAATCAGTTTTGGAATGATAATATGGGACGGGATTGGACATGAAAGAAAAATAAACGAGTAATCATATTATCTGATGTAGAAATAGTTTGGATCAGATGCTTGAATTATGAATATCGTCTAGAAAATCTTCTATTAATCGAGAAGCTATTAGAATTTCTCAATATTTATTCACACTTTAAATTTCTAGGCTTTCAAGATGGCAGCCTTAAGATAGATGAATGGAGAGAAAAATTATTGTTTTTGGAGTATCTATACAATGTTGAGCATGAGCCCTTATATAGGCATAAATGACAAACTATGTATACCTCATGATTAGGGCACACTATGTGTACTACATGTCTAAGACCATGTGTCCCTCATGATTTTCAATACCATGTGTTCTTCGTAGTTCAACCATGTGTGAATGGACCATGTGTACCATGTAGCCTTCAAAAGTAGGCCACACCATATGTACTATGAGGTCACACCATGTATATTTCCCACATGATTTCCAACAAGACACAAGCAAGAAAATATTGGGTGATTTTCACTTTTAGGAGGGAGATTATTAGTAATGAAAGATACATATACATACATACATACATATATATATATATATATGGATTGGGAAAAGCAAATTCCATCCTCACTTTAATTTTATTTTTATTTTTTTATCGATGAAAGAAACATGTAAATTACTACTTCTACCTTAGTTTTTTATTCGTTTTTGGAAAGTCTAGGAACCCGAAAATGACCTGATGACACATTTACAAATCCCACTATATTTTTATTTCATGAGAGATAAAAATATGAGAAATTATATATATATGAATTTTTACTTTTATTAAATTTTTAACAAATTAAGAAAATGGGATTGGGAAAATAAATCTCGTCCCCTCTCTATTTTATTAGATTTTACTTTATTTATCTTTGTATTTTTACATTATTTGCATTAGATTTGGTCTATTTAAACATTACTAAAAAAAATAAATTATGTGTAATTATACTAAAATTATGAATTTTGTTGTATTTTTTTTAAATCTTATGAAAGATTGGTGTATTTTCCTCTTTATTTAATTTTTTTTTTTTTGAAGTATCAAAAATAACCTAGAAGAGATTGGTGAATTATACGAAGGAGGCCCGCTAGTTCCTATGCCCGCTATTGGATATTTTTTGGATAAATTTTCAGAAATATAGAGAATTATAGTACGAATGGCTCCCTATAAATTGAGTCCACGCTTGAACTTTTTCAATCAAAATAGAGTGGACCTCGTCCTTATATTGTGTTTAAATCATAAATTTAGATAAAAAATTTAAAAAAAGAAAAATGAAAATTAAGAAGAAGAAAAAAAAAAAACCTTTATTAGTGATAAGCCCATTTTTATGAAGAAATATGGTATTTAGATTCAATGATTAATCTTAATTTTTTTTTTCTTTTTTTGTGTGATAACAACCTAATTAAAGTTGGATTTCCAAAAAGCATATGACACGGTCAATTGGAACTATCTCCTCCAAATGCTATCAAATTTTGGATTCGGTGATAAGTGGGTGAAGTGGATTCACAGTTGTATTTCCTCAGCAAGAATCTGTATGTTGGTTAATGGTTCACCCACACTTGAATTATGTCCCCAAAAGGGTTTAGGCAAGGTGATCCATTATCACTTTTTCTTTTTAATGTGATGGCTGAGGGTTTGAACCTACTTCTTGCAAGAGCAAAAGAGCTGAGCTTGGTCAAAGGAGTAATCATTGGGTCAGATGCCATCAACATCTCCCATCTCCAATACGCAAATAACACAATTATTTTTTGTGAAGTTGAGTGGTCTAAAGTGCTAACTGTCAAGAGAACACTTAGACGCTTTGCGATCATTTCTGGGCTAAAGATCAACTTTCATAAGAGTGGGGTTTGTGGAGTAGGATTATCAGAGGAGTATGTGAAAAATTTTGCCTCAAGGTTGAACTGTACATATCAGAAGCTTCCATTAAAGTACCTTGGTTTGCCATTAGGGGCAAACCCATCTAAGAGGGCCACATGGAAGCCTATGGTGGACAATTTCAAGAAGAAACTGTTAGGGTGGAAAAGGAGGCTGCTATCTTTTGCTAGCAGAGTAACACTTATCAAATCTGTCCTTTCCTCCCTACTTGTATACTACATGTCTCTCTTTAGGCTGCCTAGAGGTGTGGCAAAAGAACTAGACAAGATTCAAGCAGCCTTTCTGTGGGGTGATTCAGATGTGAGAAGGAAAGTTCATTTAGTAAAATGAAAGGATTTAACCATGGATAAGAAACAAGGTGGGCTGGGGATAAGAAACCTAAGTTTATTGAATAATTGCCTTCTTGCTAAGTGGTGGTGGAGGTTTGGGAAGGAAGATAGTTCATTATGGAAGCAGGTCATACGCAGCAAATATAAGCCAGAAGAGGGTAGACGGTTTCCATTCCATGTGGAGGTGACAAATATTTCAAGAGTTTAGAGTGACATTATATTTGTTGGTGATTCTAATAGCAGCTCGTTCAATTATTATTTGGGTAATGTTGAAATCAAGATTGGTAATGGGGAAAGAATCAGTTTCTGGGTTGATTATTGGATGGGAACTATGTGCTTGAAGTCCCAATTCCATAGACTTTACTCTTTATCTGAGGATAGAGGTATCACTTTGAAATTGCAGTGGACTAGGATTAGACAACACAATAATTGGGATCTCAACTTCAGACGGCCCTTATTAGCGTGGGAGGAAGATGAACTACAGAGATTAAGGGTTGTTTTAGGTGAGGGCCCTGCATTGAGATTGGAATCAATAGATATGTTATGATGGAAATTTGACCCTACAGGTATGTTCACTGTCAAAAGTGCTGCTAAATGATGTGAATCTTTGAATGGTCCTAATTTGGTAATTCCTGATCTGATCTGGCATAACCCCTCCCTTCCTAAAGCCTAATTCTTCTCTTGGTTGGCTTGGAAAGAGAGGATAAAGTCCTCTGACCACTTACATAGACTTGGTATCCTTAGTGCAGCAGTTAACTCTGACTGTGTATTCTGTCAGACTGAGATTGAATCTCTTAATCATGTTCTGCTGTTGTGCCCCTTTGCTTGAAAAGTTTGGTCCAATCTAATTAAGTGGTGGGGTTTGCTCTGGGTTTCCCCTAGCTTAGTGGTTATGCTAATGCACTGGTGGTTAGGCTGGAAGGTTAGGAAAAAGGAAAAGCAAATGTAGAGAGCAATCCTGATTGCTAGTCTATGGTCCCTCTGGAAGTGTAGAAATGACTATCTTTTCAATGGGCTGCAACCTATCTGTGAAGATCTTTGTGTGCTTAGTAAATTTAGAGTGGCCCTTTGGCTAAAAACTCACTCAGTTGGGCAAGGTTACACAGTGGATGAGTATGTGTTTAATCTCCATCAAGTTCGAAGCTGTATGTAGTGTGTCTGGTAGGGCCTTATAGTAGAATTGCAGCTGCTTTGCCTCAGATTCTGTTTCATTTTCCTCTATTGTCATTTTGTAATTTTTTGGTCTGCTTTGTTCAACTGTGGTGGTTCCCCTATGTATTTGGTTCAGTATGGTTCAATATTGGTTTAGGCAAGGGAGTTGACTCCAGCCCTGGTGAGGCTGGCTTTGTGAGGCTTGTATTACAGAGCTGAATGCAGGCTGTGGCTGCTACTGGTCTTGGATGTTTGCAGTGATTTCTTTGATTGTTTGACTCCAGCCCTGTCTTCTGCTAGCTGTCTTCAATGGTTGAGCTGAAGCTAGACTAATGTTGCTGTTGATTCAAAGTTTATACTGCTACTGCTGTGGACTGCTGCGTGCCAAGTTCTATTTTGCTGGTCTGCCTTATTCAGGTGTGAAAGTATGCTATTGTTGTGAGAGGATGGCCTGTTATGCAATGCTGTTGTTGCTCTGCTTTGTTTTTTAGTTTTGCTTCAGATTATGCTGCGTTGGCTCAAGCTCTATTCTTCTGCTTCAGTCTGTTGCTTTGGTCTGTATCAGGCCTTGTTGTCGGTATGCTCTACTCAGCTGTGGTTTGCTATGTGTTAAATTCTTTTTTGCAATGCTTCTGGCTTGTTCTGCTTTGTTTCTCAGTGTCAATTTGCAATGCTGGTGAAGACAGGCTAGTATGTATGTTGCTGCAGCTGAGTGTTAATTTAGTTAGTGAAGATGCTAGGATTAATCAAATGCATGGAAAATCAGTTGAAGTGCTTTGGGAACTCATATCCATACAGTGACTAAAAAAATGCATGGCAAGGTCTTAGTTGCCTTAGAAATAATGGCTAAGCTAGCAGAGGATGCTAAGAGTATTAATCATTAGTTATGGTCATTGCAACCTCTGCAACAACATCTACTTCATCAGTAGTAGCCTCAGTAGTGGAGTTAGTTGATTCAGCATTCATAACATCATCAATTGCTTCAGTATATGCCAATGCTCTGCTGTTGTGCTATGCTCTACCTCTGGCTGCTGTTTTGGGGATTTTGTGTTGGTTGGTTTATTTTGATGAATGGTTGTCTATGCTGTTTTCTGTCTTTGATGAATATTTGTTTTGGTCTCTCATTGTTGGTCTCTCACCAACTCTGGGGGTGCTAGCAAATGATAGGATGAGCTAAATAGTGCCAACCTCGTTGGGATGATTTAGCCCATTATGATGCTTTTGCTCCTCTCTTTTCTTTATTGATGTAATTCGTTTTGTACTTTTGTACTTGTTTATTTCATCAATAAAGTTATTTTTTGACCGATCAAAAAAAATAAAAATAAAAAAGGAATAGCTTGATGGATAATGTAGATAAAGTATTTTCTTATTGGGCATGATGTTCAAGTTGAACTTTATTGCTGTAAGATGTAGTTTGTCTTCCTTATACTATCTAAATACAAAACTTAACTTCAAGCTTTACCTTATTTTGATCCTTTAGAGGGCTATTGTGGGGTTATGGAATAAAGTCCACTGTTTCTTTCAGTGGTGTTGACCTGCAGTGAGGTTGAGATGACTAGTGGTTATTTGGGCATGACTTATGTTTTAACTTTTTTATTTATTCCAAAAATGTGTATAAAAAAAAGCAAAGATGTGATGTAATAGTAATAAATTAATAAATAACTTATTTAGGTGATACACAAACCCTCTATTATATGGGACATATGAAATAAAGCGATGACAAGTTGTTTAAAAAAAAATAATAAATAAAGGATGAAAGATAATATCATCATGTTTGTGATATATATTTTGCAAGAAATTTTGAGAACTCCATGGAAAATAAA